AAACCAGACTTGGCAATCTAAGTTACTCAGATCTGTGCTGTCAGTGTACTTTTCCATTTTTGAGAATTATATTTTTGTTATAACCCAATGAAGAAGAAAAGTTTGACATTGAAATCTCTGCTGCATAGACTACCTCCCAGCAGTATCCTTTTAGGAGTTTATGCTATGGATGTGACTTGTCAAGTGAAAATATTTGAACTCTTATTTTTTTAAGCAGTACAAAAATAGTTGAAGACAGCACCTGCTCCAGGGAGTTTGTGACACAATCAGGCAGAGCCACATGCAGGATGGAAGAGAAGACAGATTATTTAATTTGCTGATGGTCAGACAGCAGGTCAGTGGCAGAGGTAGGTTGGAGTCCAGCTCCCTGGAGCCCAGGTCCGTTCTCTTACTGATTAAATGTGATGCTTCTGGTGTTACACTGAAATTGGTGAGGAGAACTGTTGTGGGGAATGCAAGAATAGAGACTGTACCTCAAGAATATCCTTCCTCAAAGCAGTATGTTGTCCTCGTGATACTGCAAATTGTAATAGGCTAATTGGGGCCATACCTTTTTTGTATAATTTCTTTTACTTAATTTGTGATTTTTAGCTTATAAATAGATCCTAAGTCCTTCTTGCTTTCTACCTTTTGGAACAGATTCCCACACCTTTTCTTGCCACTGTCAGTGCTTGCAGTTCCTTGCTTTATACTGGGTCGTGTGCTACTTTTAAGGCATTTGCATATAATCAGTTACATATAACTTAGCGTGGAGCTCTAGCTTTAGAGAGTATGCTGATACTTTATCCTTCTTCCAGGGAAATAAATCTTGCCTGATCAGAGGTCCTACACTAAAATAACAGGTTACAATCAGACTGAGGAGCCAAGCTGCTACTTTTATACATAGGCCTGTCATGGCTGGCTGTACCAGTTTCAAAATCACTGCAAACAACCTTGCTGCTTTCCCTAGGTGCTCAGCAACCTTGAGGTGTGCCCAGGAATGGGGAAGGGGTGAGGTGACCCGGGGGAAGAAGCAGTAACATGCCACAGTAACCTGGAAATTCTACATACCATGTTTTACAAATGCACAGCTGACTTGGTCGCCTTTGGCTGGATTTTGTGGAGTTTGTACATCAAAGTGCCTATCGTCACTGAACCTTGCTTGGAATGGCCGCCAGAAAAGAGGAGGCTTGGCTGATTTCTATCTTCCTTCCCCTTTCCATGACATATCTATTGCAGAGCTGGGAAGCTATTTTTGATTTATGTAGGTTGACTTCTGGCATATTGGGGGCTATTGAGTAGTCCTCAAACTTGCTGCAACCTCCTCTTTCTGCCCCTTATTAGGGGACCTTCCTTCTCTATTCATAGCAGGTCTTCATTGCTCCTATTGCCTCCATTCCCAATCTGTGTTGTTGGTTAACCTCACTTCTAGCCCATGGGTTGCCAGGATCCCCTCTTCTTTGAGAAGGTCAAATGTGCTCCCTGCATGTCTTCTGTCAGGGCTTTGACTATCCTGTTCCTGTTTTTACCCACAGCAAAGTCCCTCTTTCTCATTTTAATCTCTTCCTCCCTTAATGTCTTTTGAGGGAAGAAGCCAGGATGCAAACACAATACATTTGGAGGCAGTAAGAACAGAACCAAGTATCTTGAGCGGAGTGAAACCCTAATGATGAGAAGGTAGGTCTTTCCTGTTAAAAATGAGGCTTAGGACAGATAGGCAAAAGTCAAGATCCATGATAGGATTCAATCTAAACCGTGGAACTGTTGCTTTAACTGTAGGAGACAGTATTTCCAGCTCCTCCCCCTAGTATGGGAGTTATCCCCGGCTGTGCACAGACTTATTTGTAATGGCTAGGTAGATCTGCAGAGTCGCACTGCATCTAATGTGGGCCAGCTGGCTGTACCGTGTCAGGATGTGTATGATACAAAGCCAAGCCGTGAAGTGGGGAAAAAGTACAATGAGAAGCAGAAAATTTCAAACCAAGCACTTAGCAGGAAAATACTTGGAACAGCATCTCCAAGCTCATTTCTGACCTGACTGTGAACGGGAGAGCTCGCTGGGTAGGCCGTTACGGGAAAATACGTATGACAGCGAGAAAGCAGAAGGTCATGACTAAGCCAGCCAATGATATCACATGTGCCCCTTGCTGCGCTGAGTTAACTCTGAAGGAACAGAGTATGCATATGCAACAGAGACATCTTGATTTAGGGATGTGTGCAACTGAAGGTCCAACTGTGTAGGAGAGTACAGCTGACAGCAAGTTTAAGAGTACGGGTACAGGCAGAACAAGCTGCAGCAGTGTTTAAAAGTCACACAGTCACACTAGCATATGGCACTATGCTGAGGGAGCGAGCTGACTTGTCTCCACTTGGCACGGAGCGCAGGCACAGGAACGTGGCTGTCGGTGGTGCCCAGGCCTCCGCTGAGCCCGTCGCCAGCCCCTTCGGTGCCCAGCTGGCTTCGGCAGAGCCGTGGCTGCCTGCAGAGGCCTGCCCTGCACTGCTCTGCAGCATGGGGTCTGCTAGAGAAAGCAGACAAAGGGTGGAAAAAAGGAAGTGCTATCATCCCCTTTTTATGAAAAAAGAGGTACTGAGACTGGGAACGGCTGAGTGGGATTTCCAAGGTAATTTCTTTTAGGTTTTATGTTCTAAAGCCATGTTAGGAAGTTTATGGTTAAAAGGTTCCTCTGGTTTCAGCTGGGTGGTCAGAGTGTAAATGTGAAAGGATGGCTGAGTCTTCTAGGACATGCCAGTCCTTTTATTGCACAACTGCTTCTCCTGAGTGGCACTGCTTTGCATTTCTGTATTCATTGTACAAAGAGTTTGAATTTGAATCACTGTTGTTTGTATTAACCCACTTTTTCATAAATCTCAAACTTCATGACACTGCTGTCTGGATTCAGAAGTGTGTGGACAGCGACAAACCTTGTTGTTATACCTGATAGTTGTGAGGAATCAGATTGCTCATAAAACAAAACCCTTAGCTAATTTTACAGGAAAGCACAAGCTAGAAACGCCTTATCAACCACTGCTGGCTTTCATCAGTACACAGAACTGGTGGTTCTGCTGCTAGAATGCAGCCAACCTCCAACAAACACCCAGTGTAGTGTTTTGGTTGGGGGCTGCTGCTGCCACTTGGCTTCCACTGCCTTCAGCTGCTGCTACAGTGCCAGTGATCTACATGCTGCTTCCATTCATGTGTAAATAGCTTAGTGTTGAAGTTGCAGGCACAAACATCCAGCTGGATGTGCCAGACCCCACCACTGAGGTGGGGTCACTTCAGTCCAATGTTGCTGCAATCTTTTGCCATCCCAAGGATGGCTTTCAGGGCTTTTCCTACTCTTGACTACCAGTCTTTGGCCATGTGCAAAAACTGAGGCCCACAATGGCTTGAGTCACAAGGAATTGTGACTGTAGCTAGAAACATGGTTTCATCAGCCATTTTTAAAGAATAGTATTAGCAATGTAATAACTTAGCAGAGTGTAGTTCCCCTATGCAAGCACAAGTCGTCCTGCTCAGTGTTTTGTTTATGGTTAACTATGTTTCTGTGTGTGTTCTGTTATTATACCCTACAGAGCCTTGCTTATTTAACAGGGTTGTGTGTGAGAGCACATGGATCAAACTCATGATTAAACATTTTCGGGACTGTGTCACAGTAAACAAGATGAGAGGGAGAAAGAATTTCCCCTTTTCAATAAAACAAGCGATTCCCATATACTGCCAAGGAAGAATTTGCATTTGTTCAAGGGCAGTCACTACGAAGTAGTAGCTCTCCCAAACTGATGAGCAGGGCAAAAGCATTGTTCTCCATGTCGGGGTCATTCAATTGAGATCAAGTGCAATATCTCTTTTCCCTGTAACATCTGACACATCCTTTATCTGGGGAAGGAGGAGATGATCTAATTCTTTCCCATGTATAACTGAGATTGTATCTGAATAATGACTTGTATGCACATAGAGCAAAAACATTTTGAGCAGAAAATTTAGAGGAGAGATATTATAGTGGTCAAAGAATCCATGTTTGTTTTTTCCTTTTCATTTGTAGTCTGACTTTGTCCCAAATGCTAAAATTTGTTGACTAAGAACATGTTTTAGTTTATAAATCATGGATCAACTAACTTGCTTTGAGGCGTTGTTTTGTTAGGAAGGTTTTGAAGCTTAAGTCTGCCCCATGGGAATGTGTGACATAGCGAGAAATCTTTTGAGAATATTTTCTTTTTGATAAGCAAACATAAGGCACAAATAATATTCCTTCTTGCTGTTTTATTTCTCTGTGTCTGAAGTGAAGGTTTCTGTGTAGTGCATTTGGCATGAGATGGTCAGGTGGTAAAAGCTTTGGAATAACACTGTAGAATAGCATAGAAGACATACAACGATCATCTAGTCCAACTGCCTGAATTTTTGTTCTTTTAAGATCATTGTTTTTAATGTTGATTTTGTGATAGGAATGCCCATCAGATAACGGGCCTCAGAGTCTTCGGGTACTTTGGCTATTCCAGCCTTACTGATCTTCTAGCCCAAATGAAGGCCAGATGTAAGAGAATATAACAAACATACAAGAGCAATAGATGAGCAGCCAGATAGTCCTGCAGGTTAGACTAGCAATACCCACAGCATCCAGAATGAGGCTGCATATACGTGTTCAGTGCCTTTAAACTGAATGTAATTAATTTTTTCAAATGGTTTGGACACCCTTTCATATTTTGGCATGACACCCAGCCTCTGCATGAAACTTCTGTTGATAGGGGTTTAGAGAAGAGTCCTGCAGGGATGTGCCCTGCAAGGTCCTGCCTTTTGCTGAAATGTTGAAGAATAAATATGCCTGATGTGAGGGAAATGCTTCCCTGTATGAATTTCCTTGAGTGCTTGTAAGAGTATCTCATTTTTATATCATGAAAGAGCCCCACTCACAAACCAGCATCCCCTTTGGCTAGATACCGTACAAACATTGTCCAGGAAGATGACAGCATATTCCAAGGAACTTAACTCTTTACTTTCTGGATCCCAACAGGTGAAACTGATTGACTACATCCACAGACAACGGCAGTGTAAGCTGAGTGTGCCCCTGAATGACAGGACAGCAGAGCTCAACAGCTACCCAAGATTCAATGACTGGTTAGACATTGTCAATGTGAGGAAAGAAGTTGTACAGGTAAGAGGAAGACAACCCTCAGCACAGAACCTTCCCACACTT